TTTGCGTCTTTTCTGATTCATAGTCTTCATATTTTCCATCTATTACTTTTATTTACTAATATTTCTGTCTACTCTGTACATATGAAATCTACAGTATTGTACAGTATGTCTGTCTGTCCTGGCAAATCAAGGGCCTAAGGATAGTGGGTGTCTTGTAAATCCCTTTTCGGCAAATTCCGGATTTTGGCCTTATAAATAAAATTTATTTGACATTCGTCGCCTGCCATAAAACTTGGATATTGATAAGGGAAGATTTTTTTTCAGGCTCAAGCATAAATAAATAAATAGCCTTTTCTGCTGAAGCAGGAAAAAATTAATTGCCTTTCCATCTGGATAGTAGCCATAGTAACTACTACTGCTACTTGCTAGGAACCCTGTGTCTTGCTTAAAGAAAACTTTCAGGTGAAAGCTACATCTGATGCCGCCTTAATCAATACTCTAACTTACAGCTTTACTATCAGCTATCTTTGAGTTCTAATCTTACCTGAATAGCAATGGGCATCAGCTTATCATCAGGTGTCTTGTGGAAAAGCACGAGTGGAGCCATCAAGTACTGCTTCTTCCCATTGATGGTGTTTGCTGTCACCCCATCCAAACGCTTGAAGTCACACAGGAATATGTTGCCTTTCTGTTTAGAATTTTATTAGTGATGAGAAATGATTAAACTCAAATGCAAACAGGTAAGTGCAACATGCAATACCAAGATGAATCAAGGTCAAGACAATCACCTTCATTTCATCTGCCAAGTTACACTGACTACGGAGGAAGACCATTTTATCAGTGACAGGAAAGTTACTGGGCAGAGTTGCACAACGTCGGATCAGCAGGGGGTTGGTACCATTTAGGAACTGGTAGCCAAAAAAATCATCGTCCTTCCAGTGTTCCTGGACATAGTCTGGGAAAAGAACAGAGTTGAACTTCATTGACTTTAAAACTTTGGGCTAGAAATCTTGCTCTACCACACTGGTAGAGCAAGGTTGTTATAATTCAGTTACATGTCGGAGTGTAAATTATACAGTCCCCTCCAAAAGTATTGGAACGTTAAGGCAAATTCCTTTGTTTTTGTTGTTCACTGAAGACATTTGGGTTTAAGATCAAAAGAAGAGTATGAGACAAGCGTTTAGAATTTCAGCTCTCATTTCCTGGTATTCACATCTAGATGTGTTAAACAACTCAGGACATACCACCCTTTGTTTGAACCCACCCATTTTTCAAGTGAGCAAAACTATTGGAACACGTGACTGACAGATGTTTCTTGTTGCCAGGTGTTGCCTTTTAGGTTGATTGTCCAAACATTAAATAGCTCTGCATGACTAGTCTAAGTTTTCATCCTTGGTTCAAACCTATAAAGACGGCATTTCCTATTAAAGAGGATGAACCAACATGAAGACCAGAGAGCTGTATGGGAGAAAAGCAAGCCATTGTCAAGCTGAGAAAGAAGGAAAATCGATCAGAGCCATTGGACAAACATTGGGCATAGCAAGCACAACAATTTGGAGTGTCCCAAAAAAGAAAGAAACTACTGGTGTACTGAGCAACAGACGTCGAACAGGTCGGCCAAGGAAAACAACAGTAGTTGATGACAGAAATATCATGAGAGCTGTGAAGAAAATCAGTAAGTGACATCACCAACGACCTCCACAGTGCAGGGGTGAAGGTATCACAATCCACTGTTGGAAGAAGACTCAGAGAGCAGAAACATAGAGGCCACACCACAAGATGCAAACCACTCATCAGCAGGAAGAATCGGAAGGCCAGATTAAAATTTACAAAGAAGTACAGAGATGAGCCGCAAAAGTTCTGCAACACAATCTTATGGACTGATGAGACCAAGATTAATCTCTAGCAAAGTGATGGAAAGGCCAAAGTGTGGAGAAAGAAAGAAACTACTTATGATCCGAAGCATGGTGGAGGTAATGTCATTGCTTGGGCGTGCATGGCTGCTTCTGGAACAGGCTCATTAATATTTATTGATGATGTAACTGATGATGGTAGCAGCAGAATGAATTCAGAAGTATACAGAAACATTTTGTCTGCCAATTTACGGAGAAATGCATTGAAACTAATCAGGAGGAAGTTTATCATGCAGCAGGACAATGACCCAAAGCACACTGCCAACAAAACAAAGGACTACATCAGGGGTCGATGGGTCGCAGGCTTGAGGTGGTTATTGCAAGCAAGGGTTATGCCACCAAATATTATTTACTTTAAGATTATTTGTTCCTTTACTTTTGCTCACCTAAGAATGCTGTGGTCTAATACAAACAGTGATATGTCCTGAGTTGTTTAACACATCTAGATGTGAATACCAGGAAATAAAAGCTGAAATTCTGAACTTTTGTCTCATACTCAAAAGTTTTCACTGAACAACAAAATCAAAGGAATTTGCCTTACCGTTTTTGGAGGGGACTGGATGCAATTAAATATAATAACTAGTTTTCTCATGAGCAAAGCCTAAATTTAAAAAACGTCTTAATTTTGTAATATATACACATTTCGTTCTTTCACATTTTCTTTCCGTTTAATGAGCCAAGTAAAGAAGTCAATAGATTACTGAGTATTCAGTAAAATTGACTATCTGATAAATTACATTTTTAGAGTATAATGAGATACTGATAAAAATCTGAATTACCACAGTTGAATGTAGACTAATATGCATACATTATCAAGTATTCCATTAAACTACCATGATAGTACAGAACCTGATATGTCAGTCTGTTTGAAGCAGAACACCCGACGTAAATCTTCAAGATTAGTCCAGTTCTTCTTCGAATTAGCCAGTCCCTTCAGTTGCAGCTCAGTCAGCCTAGAAAATAAAAACATATAGTAACATTATCGTTATCCCTTTAATAGTTTTGGTATTAAATAGGTATGTAGGCAGGTACACAGTTACATAAATAGACAAATATCTGACAGAATTTGAGAACTTCACCCTGTGGATGCGGTGTAGAGAAACTCTGTAGTCTTGGTGAAGGAGAAGCGGACCTCACAGGGCAGAGAAAGAGGGTTTTCTGCCTTTATGCAGTGAGGTATTCCCTCTACATAAACATCCCAGCTAGGAAAAACAGGAAAGAGCAGAGTGGTAATTATGCAAGCATAATATACATGCCAATATTCAATATTGCAACATATGTTATTACCCTGGCAGCTGTAACAATCATGTTATATGGTGGTTGATTTATCATTATATATCATGAATATATTCAACCAAACATGGAAGAGGTTTGGATGCTGGTAGTTCCCGTCTATAAGCTCTGAACTCTTACCGATAGTCGTGCTCTCGCTGCTTCAGCTCCTGCTGCCGACTGTACCTGCCAAGATGATGGTTGTCTACAAAGACTGTCAGAGCTTAAAGAAAAAACCACATTAAGGTTTGAAATCGTTGAATTATACAGTATGTGGGAATGATTACTCATAAAACTCCTTATAATCTAGCTTTCAGAAGATGTCTTTCTTTTGTCTTCTGTGGTCAGCACAAACCTGTTCCCTCTCTGAAGCGGTGCACCTCTCCGTCAGTGATCCAGCGGTAGATGGGAAAGTTGTAGGTGAATCCCTCAGGAGATTTCACTACCACTTTGGTAGAGAACCAGGAGTCTTCAGGGAACAATGGGAGAGGCTGTTTGTCTAGTTCAATCAGAACCAGCTGTCCAATGGAGAGCGGGCAGGACACAGTAAAACTAGACACCTGGGGTGATGAGAGAAATTATTTGAAAACATTTATACAAGAAGAGAAAGTGTGTTTAGTAATTACAAACTGAGCTGTAGCATCCCAATAATTAGCATCCAATTACTTAATGTAACAGAATAAAACTTTGCATAAAATACCAAATTTATTAAGCTGATTATGGGGATTTTTTCTTCTTATATAGGTCACCTTTGTAGCCGTAGAGGTTACAGAGCAGCACATATCCTGTTGCTGGGAGGGTTTAGATCAGCTTCTCTAAATTGGTATTTAATAATCTCATAAAGGCAAAGTTGAGGAAGTGTCTTATACACTAAAACAGAGAAGGACTTACTGTTCCCATTATGAAGGATGCAGCCCCTTTGATGCTCTTGAGCCACTTGCGTTCACTCTCCCATCTGTGCCCACCAGCTTAATGAAGATATTGTTAAAAGTGGTGGCACCAACGAGATTGCCAGTGGATACGGTCACTTCATATTTCACCATTTTCACTCTGGAAAGCAAAAGTGGGGAGAGAATAACAACAATTCTCAGCACTGATTGGGTTAACTGTGAGTTAACTGTTAAAAAACCCCAATTAAATATAATGATACATATATAATAATCAATTTGTCTTTTCTCACTTATCTATAATGGATGGAAGCCTATAGGGGACAATATTAAACAGATCATGTAGACTTGAAAATGAAAATGTAATTCCACCACAGAATTATGAATTTCCCCATATGTGTTTTATCTTATATGAGTTATTTGAAAAAAACTTTCACATATGCTTGTATGGGTGTATGTTAAAATGAAAATGGAAAAGCTTTTGACATTTAAAGTCCTATCCCACTGTACAGTGCACAGTACTCAAATATTCAATTCAAATTTGGAAATTATGGTAACTTCTGTCTTTCTCAAGCTGGACCCTATTTTCCCATGTTTTTGCGTCTATGTGACTATTTAGGACAACATTTTTAAAATTGGTCCAACAGTGCTACAATGTAATCTGAGCAATTGTGGACTGTCAAAGTACATCCACTAAAGTGCTTGTTTTTGTCACTGACTAAGATTGTTATTACAAGTTTCTGACAACATTAATAATGAATTATGAAAAGGATCCCTACAGAGATAGACCTTTTTTTAAAGAGTAAATCATTTTAGTCCCCCGACCCGACCCCAGTTAAGCGGATGAAGATGGATGGATGGATGGATCATTTTGGTTTAACCATAAACAGATGCTCTCTTTGAAGCCACCAGACTACTTTGACAAAAACAGTGATTTTATTCCCATAAGACTATGTGAAAATGCATTTTGAATTTTCATTTCCACTTTACGCAAATAACACATAAATATGGAGGAAGGTATGATGCTATTGTGGAATTATATCTAATTTTCATGTTTACATTATTATTGCAATATAGTCCTCTATAGGATTTCGTAAGTACAGAACAGTCATTGCTATTTAATAATTTCATAAAGCAACTCTCACCTTCAAAGTTCCTTAGATGAACTTCTCTTTTGATAAAAGTAATGAAGAGTCGTTTCTCTTTTTATACATACAGTTTTGTGGGAGTGTTCAGTCAGCAGCAGCTCTGGTGTTTGAATGTGTGAACAATTACTGCACTTGCAAAACCACGGGAAGATATTGCAAAAAAGGATTTGTTAATGCTTGTTGTGGTGGCAGCCAAACTGACGGTGAGTCAGTTAGTTCTTATTAAATGCTAAAACAACATTCACCTACACAGTTTAGTAACATAATAATGAATAATTTCTACAAGTTGGGAAATGCATACAGTAGAACATACAGTACATTACAGACAAATGAGTTACATGTAAACAAGGTAAATGCAAATACTAGTTTTGTTTTTTATTGTTTCATACACAATCATAAACTCAGTAGCCACCTTATTAGATGCACCTGTACAATCTACCGCAATTACAACAGCTCTGACATAAATTCTATCTTTGCAAAGCCAATGAGTTCCCTGGATCAACTGGCTCCGAACAGTCAGGCTGACATACATCAAGATATTTATGTTGGTCACAGACAGCTCAATGTATCAGTGCAAAGCTACTACAACACATAGCAGTTTGCCCCCCTGCCCCCCAAAATTATTTATTCAATCATTCTTTTTTTTGAGACTGAAAATAAAAATTTTTCCCTGTAAGTATATTTAGAATTATTATTATTATGAAATCAAACTGGGTTAATAAGGAGATTATTTCTTTGCAGTTTTCATTTTGCACCACAGTTTTATTATTTTATGTTTAAAAAGTCTAAATACAATAATGACATTGTTTTTTTCCAATATACAGTCTTTCCTCTCATCCCTTTTTTAAAGCAAAGCTGAGGTATGTTGTCAGATTTGAGGGGAGGGGACAGTCAGGAGTCCAGTGGGCTTCAGCTTGTTGATCCCTCCATCCAGGATACAAACTCGTGGGAAATTTACCTTGACCAGATGTGCTGCAAACTGGGAATAAATGAAACAAAGAGATAAGCAGTTATTTTACCTCCCTCCGGGAACTGCAAGTACTCATCACCTTATGTGAATCTAACATTGTTATGTGGCTTCCTTGAGTTAAAACAGAACTTGTGCAATTGCTGCATGAGAAATAACTTTACACAACAGCCTTCAACATTTATGAAACAACTTGACGCAATATATGCAAGTCATTGCATGATGCATTACGTGTGTCAGTGTAAAAGTAGATACAAGCCAAATACTGAGTGTGACTTTGAGGAAGTAAAGTGAAAATTAAATTAAAAATGTGACTTAACTAAACTGTAATCCAGTTAATTCAGAGATAGTGTTAGTGCTACTGCATATGTTGTGCATGTGGTATACCTAATATTTTGTCTCAATAACACCACTAACTACAGACTCAAAGGTTACCATGAAATTAATTCAACACCTCTCTCACACAACCTGAACAAAAATCTAATATCAGACTGAAACATAATACTGTAAGCTAAAAAGTAAAACAGATGTTACTTTTCTTGTGGCCTCTCATTGACTTGTACTGTGTAATGTGTGCCCTTGAGTGTTCATAGATGGTGACAATGAGTACTAAAAATTCATATGTTAGGAAATCTGATAATGCGACGTACGTATCTGACTGTCAGACGTCATACACACAAGAGCTTTTACGAAAAAAACAAAAACTGACAGATGAATGAACTTCACATACATTTTATGAACAAGAGTTGGGGTTTAATCTGTTAATTAACAGAACATGTTAGCATGTTCCAGAGATTTCTGTAAGTCTTCAGCTGACACTCTAGGATTCTTCTTAACCTCATCGAGCATTCTGCACTGTGCTCGTGCAGTCATCTTTGCAGGACAGCCACTCCTAGGGAGAATAGAAACAGGGCTTCTCCATATATAGATAATTTATCTTACCATGTACTAATGAACATCAATGCTTTTAGAGAGTCTTTCTTTTAACCCTTTACAGCTTCATGCAAGTCAACAATTCTTAATCTTAGGTCTTCTGAGAGCTCTTTTGTTCGAGGCATGGTTCACATCAGGCAATGCTTCATAAGAATAGCGGAGTTAAAATTGGTGTGTTTTTATAGGGCAGGGCAGCTCTAACAAACACCTCCAATCTTGTCTCATTAATTGGACTCCAGGTTGGCTGACTCCTGACTACAATTAGCTTTTGGAGAAGTCATTAGCCTAGGGGTTCACATACTTTTTCCACCCTGCACTGTGAATGTTTATACAGTGTGTTTAATAACAAACATAAAAATATATAATTGTTTTTATGGTATTAGTTTAAGCAGATTGTGTTTGTCTATTGCTGCCTTAGAGATATTCAGAGTACCTATTCTTCAATGGTATACCACCTTTCAAAATAATTTTAATTAAAAGTTCACCAGAAAAATAATAAGAATAATGAATACTGCTGGTATTTTTTAAAGAGGTGGTATTATGCTCATTTTCAGGTTCAAAATCTTATTTAGGGGTTGTACCAGAACAGGTTTACATGGTTTAATTTTCAAAAAACACCATATTATTGTCAAACTGCACATTGCTGCAGCTCCTCTTTTCACCCTGTGTGTTGAACACTTCATTTTAGCTATGGCGTGATATATCTTGCCTCTACATGGGAGTTGCACATGCGCAGATCCTAGTTAAGGACTACTAGCCAATCAGAAGCAGAGAAGGGGCGGGTCAGTGAGAAGCCGGTAAACACAGCTTTGGTTCAGTCGTATATGTTCCCCTTACCAGCTTAGCAACATAAACTTGAGCAAGAGTTTCAGAGTGGTGAGTTATTAATCTGTAACAAATGCATCTTTCATCCATAAAGTTTAAACTGAGCTCTGTCTCTACATCACAGTAACAACTTTCTGTCCAACAACCGCCTGGAGGGTAGCTAGTGTTTGGAAGGGAGAGGAGAGGTGTGTGCTGCAGCTCAGTGTTTTTCCACCGGTGTTTTTGAGGGCGTGTTGGACTAGCTGCTTGGCGAGCATTATATGACACGCATTTTGCAAAAGGGCTACAAAAGAGCTGTTTTCAGGCAGTTCAGAGCAGTGTTTCCTGTGGGAAATGGGAACTCCCTTGGGTTGGACTTTTGCAAACCTATTACATGCACAAAAAAACATATATAACTCAAAGTCGAGGGAAAAAGCCAAAAAGCATAATATCACCTCTTTAAACAAAATAAATAAATCAAGCCTTACTTAATACCTCTGTGTAAAACTGTAAAACCCTTAATGTTAAGACAAATAAAACATCTTATTTTGTCTGCTTGAGTTGTTGGCTGGTCTCACACACACACACACACACACACACACACACACACACACACACACACACACACACACACACACACACACACACACACACACACACACACACACACACACACACAGCTAGTTTGGAGTACAGTTTAAACATTTCAAATTCAATCAGACTTCAGTTCAATCAACTTAAATGTCGACATAAAAACTGAGCAGGAAGAATCAGGCTTCCTTGTGAATGCCAATGGGGTTTAAATGTTAAAGGTTTACAGTGATGTGGGGGTGAGTGGACTCATTGCTTTGCCCCAAAGTAATGATAATTCCACTTGTATGGTGCACAGAGATGTGAATGGCATTTAAGCACAATTGGGTCCTTTTATCGAACTTTAATTTCGTGACCTGCTCGACTGAAAGGTCTGGTGAATTACTGAGGTTTATCATAAAAATGGAGAATTTCGAGTGTGGGCTCTTTTACCTTGAATAAACCAAAACACAATATCTTAAAACTTCAAAATAATGAAATGGAATTCATCCAGTCATAAGTATGATCAGTAGTCATACTTGCCTGTGTAATGTGATGATGATTATTCATCCCTAATACCTATGATGTAGAAAAATCATCCAACTAATGCCTGTGTAACAAACCTAATTTTGTACTTATGCTTCAGCTATTACCACGTGCTGATAACGTGAGCCACAAACGGTTCACAAACAGCGCTATTTACACTACAGTCCCTCTGCAGATGAATTCATCAATTACTTTGTAACGGTTGTTGCAACCAGGTTAGAAACAGATCTTGCTGCTGCATCCTAAACAATGTAGGACTGTCTGTTAAATTAAGGAGAACTACTTACTTTCCTCATTTACTTTCCAACACATGGAATGAGTACTTCTTTTCAAAATTGAGATTTTGCCTGAAGCAATGTGCTGAATTTTACTAAGTTAGGTTAATTTATTCTAAAGAGAGTACAAAATAAGAATTTATAATGATCAATATATAGTTCACTGTTCTGATATGCTGAAGTGAGCAAAGTTATTTTTGTGCACTGAAATCTAAAATTCAGCCTCAGCTAATGTCCTAATGTCTTTTAGAAAAGAGGCAAAGACACAGTAGGCTTTATTTACACTGTACATCACTCATTAACACTACTGAGAAGTTAGAAGAGTATCTGATTAAAAAATATGTCTTCTCAGACCCACATCTATTTCTGGCGTACACTCTGCTCCCATTTTGGTGATTTTGTCAACAACAACAAAATAAAACTTTAATAATAATTTACAAAAGTTTTCATAATTGGAGAAAACTAATATTTGGAGCAAATGCACAGAAATAACGCAATAATGCTTAAAATGTAAATGAACTATTTTAATTACACACTCTCTTAACTGTTAAAAGATATATGGTGCTGTGTGTTCACACTGTGCTGCTCTTCAACATCCAGACAAAAATAATTTCCTCCATCATGGCACTGCTGTTTTAGAGCAATGAGACCAGTGATGTTACTGGCTGAGAGCATTGTTATTAGTTACTACCCCCATAAATCTATATTTTTATTTAAACTATTGCACTTGCTGCTAAACCAAAATAGTATAATTATAATTATTTGCATTTGTCATTTCACTTGCACAATTTAAATAGGGCCCTAAGTGTTTCCTCTTATGCTTAGCATTTTAATTTAGTGTGCCAGCATACTAACATTTGCTAATCAGCACTGAACACAAAGTACAGCTGATGTGGCATGCAAGTCATTTGTCCAAAACCAAAGAAAGTTTGACCAAATCATGGTGGTAGATGTGAATTTAGAAGATAATGTCTAAACAGAATTACGGGGCAATCCAGCCAATACTGGTCAAGACATTTCTTAGTGCTCATGGTAGCGTTGGTGGAATAGTAAGTACAATGTGTAATTTGCAACCCAACTGCCAATTTTGGTGAGTTTTTGCCGAAAGAAAGAAAGAAAGAAGTGTGATAACTGTGTCAGTGAGTCATTTCACATGAAAATGTCTTTATTATGGTGGGGATCAGGATAATTCCAAACAATCACTGCTTCAGAAACACCTGCTCTTGTGCAGTTAGTTACAGCAGATCATCAGAGGGGTTTTTAAATCAGAAATTATGACCCTGAGGTCTGCTTTCACTGCCCTGACATGACCCCATCCAGGATATGAAAGGATGTCACATTCCTGTCTTAATCTTTTTGTTGATTTTACCAGATCACTAAAAAACATCTCTTAAATAAAGCTAAGAGCGCTTTGGGCTAAATAGTAACATTTAGTATGCTAACATGCTCATAATAACAATGCTGATGTTCAGTAGGTGTAATGTTTAAAATGTTCACCTCTTACTTTAGTTAGTTAATGCTGAAATTTGCGTTTAGTGCTAATTAAACTCAAATTACAGCTGAGGCTGATGGGGATGTTTTGCAGGCATTTGGTCATAAACCAAATAATGGGACAAACTCAGTTGCTGACCTGATGATGATGTTAGATGAAAAGGAGAGAAATTTAATTTTGAGGTTGACATGAATGTGTGAACCAAATTCCTTGGCAATCCATCCAAAAGTTGTTGATATTTCAGTTCTGTGTGTGTGTGTGTGTGTGTGTGTGTGTGTGTGTGTGTGTGTGTGTGTGTGTGTGTGTGTGTGAGTGAGAGACAGAGAGAGAGATTGCTTTCTCACTATAGCAGCACTCTTCATGGCGTGGCTAATGATCACAATCACACGTCCTCTGTAGTTCTGTAGGACTCCTGTTGCAGGACACTGCACCAGCTCACCGTCAGGGCTGAATGCTGTGCTGAAGGGAATGTTGATGCTGCCAGATATATGGCCTCTGCTGAAGCTGGAGGCAGTGCGGTTAAGGAGTACAGCTTTGAACAAGTATGGCACCTCCTTGGAACAAGGGCAAGGAATGAAGTGAACCCTGTTTTTTTATTTCATACAGTTACACACTGAATTTCATGGGAACCATAATATCATTGGAAGACATGGATACAGTATGAAATAATATCAAGTCAGTTCAGTGATACCCTAATTAAAGTGCTTATTGTACTGCTTATCAGACTGACTTCGAATACAAAAAATATGTAAGACAAGCTTCAAGATAGCAGCGTGGGACAAATTAGCTCTCTTAACTGAAGGGAGGGAAGGCAAAGGAAGAATAAAACATATACAGTAGGAGATATAATAAGGAGTCAGCAGGAGAAAAGAAAAAAAGGACTATGTCTTAGTTAGAGGTTTGCTGTAAAAGGACTATGTTAGGTTTGCTTGAAAAACAGAGGGAGTATCAGTACAGGGGCAGTGAACAACCCCAGATTGCTATATAAATGAATAAAAACTATTGAGAAAAGGAGATATTACAAGGTAAAGGAGGGTAAAGGAGGTAAAAGGAGTCTTATTTCTAGTCATAGTGCAGCTATTGACATTATTGCTACATATTCTATCACAAGTGGTGCTAAACTCTCTCAAATTATGTTCACTAAATCATATCAGCTGCCACAATAACATACTGCCGGTATGTTACATAACATAGTGTATAATCCAGTAGCTGGCAAATCCTGTTGTTATTTAGCTGTGGAATTTCAAGCAGTACATGCCAGTTGTTTTACATCAGAGAATACCCACCAGGTACATCGACAGATAAATCTAGATTGTCCTGATTTACCCCGCAGAGGTCTTAATTTAATCCACTTTTAGTGACCTGAGACACCCACAACACATCTTTGCCTAAGATCACAGTAAAGGTGAACAAGGGTTGCCAAATCCTGTGAAAGTGGTCAAATTCCATTTGTTTATGTGAGTTAGCCTGAGGAGCCTCTGTCTATCAGGAGGCTCCAGTGTAGGAATTTGACTAGAGGAACTGCCATTTTAAAATCCTTGCTCTATTTACTAATCCTTATTGATTAATGGCTCTTTCACCCCTTTAGACAATTACCATTCCACTGACGATGTGAAGGATCGTCTGCATTTCTTACTGGCAGGGTTTTCTGGGCTACTCCTGGTTATAAATAAAAACTACTTATCTGCAAAAGCTAAATTGATTTCTTTATGCAATATTGTAATTTTGTGCAGAGATACAAAAAAGATGGATAAAGAGGCTATTGAATGTGGCAAGCAGTGAAAATTTTCAATTTTAATCTAAGGGACTTACAAGAATGGTTTTTAAATGTGAAACTTATATTGCTTTGTGTGTATGCATATCAACCCATGCATATTGTAGCTGTCCTTTGAAAACCATTTTTTAACAATTTCAGCTTACCCAGTGGGTTTTCTTTTGGATATCAAACACGCACATATACCCACACATGATGTACACCCACGTAGTCAGTTGTTGCAAAGAACTTCTTCACTTAATACACTCAGGTACAGTTTCGTATATTTTAGCTTTACAAAAAAGCATTAAAAATTCTTAGTCATGATTATCAGCTGACTGTTGCAACAATAACCAGAACTAGATTGTGCAATTTCTGGAGAAATTGCGGTGTGAATGCTGGCTGTTGGAGGCTAGCCTCTCCTCCGCTCTGGTCAAGAAATGTTGAGGAGAATTTACTATTGAAGCCTATGGAGGATTTTCTGTCACTCTTGTCCTTTGGCAGCACACAAAGACAAATCTATAAGTCCGAGGGATTTACTAAACACGTGAGGAACCACAACAAAAATACCTACATTTCTAGTATAATTTCATGCCTGAAGAGTTAAAATTGTGGTCAGGCCAGCGATTTAAAAATTATTTTTTATGAGTTCTCCAGCTGGCTGCCCTCAAGCGATGACATCACGTGCTCTAGCTCTGAACATTCCGTCTCATCCGCTTCCATTATAAACTCAGAAAAAGCCTGAATTCTTTACCAGACTAAAATCCCAATTGTGGAAAAAGTATAAAAGATATGAAAAAGTTGAATACAACCTTAATAGCTTAAAGATTTCTGAACATTTTAAAGTTGAAATGAGAGAAATAGCTGAAAGTATGCAGAAGTAGTAGGCTTTGAAAGCTGAAGCAGCTGAAACACGATTCTCCATTGACTTACATTGTATTAAAAATGTAAATGTAAATGTAAAAAATTGCTTAAAAAGCTTAATAGCTTAAAGTATAAAAGCTACAAAAATAGTTGAATATTTCCCATAATGTCCTTAAAGAGCTGAACATTATGATAGTTGAATGGTTTTTGTAGCACAAAGTATGCTGAAGTTATCGAAGCCAAAAAACGTACGGAAGAATAATAATAAAGGTTAGCAACAACATAGGATGCGAATGCATGCAGCATTGACACCCAATAATAATAAAGATTTGGATAACAATAGAGTGATTGCCTCCAGCAATAATAAAGGTTAGCAACAACATAGGATGCGAATGCATGCAGCATTGACACCCAATAATAAAGGTGAATGGCTCCAGCAATAATAAAGGTTAGCAACAACATAGGATGCGAATGCTTGCAGCATTCACACTCAGTTATCTCATGAAAGAGGAAACTATGGTATAGCCAAAAGGCCAGAAGAATGCATTTTGCACAGGATCACAGGCTAATCTCCACTGCTTTACGTTCCAGTTTCTCAGACTGCAGGATATGATGGGGTAGCCTGGGTGGATAAGAAGGGCCTAAATGACTGGCACTGAACTGGCAGAACATAACTTAAGTATAACACCCACCCTAAATCTGCCCCTATTTTCCTTGTATGGGAACCAGGCAGTTTAACCCTCCGTGCCTGTGGTTCCTTTTTTAAAACTCTGCAAAGCACTGGCACCAGGTCAAGAGGTAATCAAGAGATTAGATACACTGTGGGATAAAGAGAAAGACTTCTTGCAGAAACATGTGTAACTGTGTAAGCATTTTGTTCCTGTGTGTGTCAGGACCCTTTAACCTTGTGTAAACATTTCATGAGTGAATGAAAACATTTGTCTTTATGTGCAATTAAAAGAGAACACAGAATCACATATAAAACCGGCATTGATATGGCACAGGCATGACATATTTGTGCCAAACAGGTGCAGACATCATATAAAAACCACCTGCATAAATTCAGGGATGCATAAATCACAGCTTTTACAGAGACCTGGCATACACTTAAGGACTTGGACTCTGACCTTACAGGAACCAGGTTGGTTCACCTGTGAGACTGAACAGAGACATGCTCATCAGAGAGAAATCTCAAAGCAGAGGGATCTGTCTGTATTTCAGCCAGTTGCAGGGTAGAACATCACTGTCAAAGTGGTTGTGTGCACACTGAGTTGTAGTCAGTGTCTGTGTACCTGGATATGTGCGCAAGCACAACAAAATTGCAATTTGATTAACCTCAAATTGTGCATTTGTGTTTTTAAACCAAACAAAATCTAAAGGTGCCGGTATACTTCTTCAGAGGTGCTTGTGGTCAATAGCTTGGGAAACCCCCTCCCCCGACATCCAACATCGGAATTCAGGGGACTGTGTCCGACAATTTCTGTTTCGTTCCAAGGCCAACAATTTGACATTCACACCCACTTCACGCTGTGATAGGTCAGCTTTGCGAAAGTGAGAAAGGAACCTTCACTAGTTCTCTTTATTCATTCCTTACACAACTATTTCTGTCATTTTTTGTGTGTACCAATATCCCCAAATGTAAATCATATTGCGTCCATATGACAGCCAGCTTTTCCGTAGGCTTTTCTGTGTGGCCGTTATGAACAATTATAAAATATAAAATGTTGTTTGTGTGCGTCAGGATCCTTTAACCTTATGCAAGCATGAGTGACCACCAACTAAAGAGAACAATGTTTCACACATCAGACCGGCATAGATATGGCAAAGCCATGACATATTTGTGCCAAACAGGTGCAGACATCATATTAAAAACAACCTGCACAAATTCAGGGATGCATAAATCACAGCTATTGCTGAGTTTCCCTACCAGTCAGTCAGAACTGAAGAAGTCTCTTGAATGAGGGATGAAAGTATCTTCAGCCAAATCCAGTTGCTATTGATTTTAACCTTCCTTGGATAACTATATCTGGATCAATGAGAACCTTCACAGACGTAATTCTCCTTTCATGGGAAACAATTCAAAAAGTTAATTTCTTTCACATATCCACTACCTGTTTGATTGAAGCATAAAATGTAAGATTTATAAAGCTTAAGGAAACAGAAAGCTTCGAGCTGGAGTAGGTTTGCTGATGTTAATTCTACTGGAAATAACCTCATCTGTAACTGACAATACTGCATATCTCAGTTTTGTGAACACAAATGTTAGCAGAAAGTTTGATGCTTTGTTGGACACAGTCCAAGATTGTGCAAACAAGCTCCCATCTGTGTGCACCATTTCCGGATGTGCCTCAGCAGAGAAAAAAGTAGAAATATATGTATATATCAAAAATGCCAGCATTACAGAAATAACTGCTGAGACAGGTGAGCAATTGACATGTACATTTCATAGCAACACAGAAATGGTAAGGATACTCCTCTACGGTGCGGATGTCAACAGCGATGATTTTGGGCTTGCCAGCTTTGGTTCTTTTGGTGGGCCCGGCCAATGACAGCTCACAAAGGTCGATTAAGTCCTCGGCTGAGATCCTAGGGGATACTTCTGCTTTCAGGTCACACAGCGCCAGAGGCTCCCGAGACTACAAGAAAGGAAGTCACTGGATATCAGATGAAGAGGGAGAAAATTGTAGCGCAGCCATTCAGAGAGTTTCTTAATTTAAATAATGGAATTTGGACAAGTAGTCATTGTAAGATGACACAAGAGAGACAGAAAGAACAGTGTCGGGTTGGATATTACTGTTTCATTAAAACCAGGAAAACAGCGATTAGCCTGAATGCCTTCTTTGTTAACTAAATCTCCTCTGTATTAATGAAATATCTTTCGCTGTCCTTTTAAACAGCTACCTCAAGAATAGAATTACACTCTGTATTACCATAAAAACAGTATTACAGCTCAGAGAGCACCAGAGAAGACCAGCAGCAGTGACCAGAACATGGTCCTTTGCCAGTTTCCGCCTGCGCTGCCAAATGGGTTCATTACAGCAGCGAGCTGGAGGCATGGCTGCAGGGGAGTGAACCCTGGTCTCTATAATGGTGAAAGTGTGTGGCAATTCTATGATTCCCAGATGCCCTGAAACCATTTTTAAGCATAACAAGTGAAAAGAACAGAGGATGCTGACATTTTTTCCCCCAAGTGCCTTAAACAACTAACAAACAAATGTACTGTGATAATGAGTGCTCATTAAGCAGTTTGGTACTGCTACAGTATTCATTAATATGCAAATTAATAGGGGAGAAATACTAACAGCATAATCTATAAATTTCAGCACACTGTGTGAAGCCATTTAAAGGGCAGAGAAGGGCCAAGTGAGCGTCGAGTAGGTTAAGTGCCAAAACTCTGCCATCCATGAAATAAAATGTTTGACAGCAGCTAACTCCATTGGCTAGCTGAGCAATCATCCACCCACCCAACAGTGAAGAAGTCAGTGTCATCTGTGAGACCTGAAACAATGTTACAATTCTGTCCACTGTCCACCTGAACTACAAGTGTTTCTTTTAATCAGCCTTAAGTGCAGAGTCGACATACTGAATATTTGGCTCTCCAAATAAAATTCTAAAGAAGTCAGAATTTACAATATTACTATATTATACACAGTGGTAAAAGGTAAATTTTCTCAATTACTGTACATTTTTAAGTAACATATAGATACTTGTATTTTACTTGAACATTTCCATTCTATGATACTTTATACTTCTACACTACTCCACTACCTTTTAGTCAAAAATGTTGTACTATACTACATTTATCTGACATCTATAGTTACTGGTTACTTTGCAGAATTGGATGCACTGCAGTAGATTAAACTACTTAACAGTGTGGAATGCACTTTATACACTGTTAATGAATCAATAATAATGATCCAATAGTACATAACACTGACAGAGGCCATGCTACATAATGAGTACTTCAATACACTTTGTTGCTTGTGTACTTTTACTTACATCAAATTAATTAATTGTAGGACTTTATTTATAATGGAGTAGAGCTGACCCCCAATAGTCGAAGATTCGATGCTTCGATGGGCGGAGCCGGATTCAACTGTCAATCTCATAGTCAAAGCTTTGCAGCGAAACAAGGATCATGCCATTTTGGCGATATGGGGGTGCTGAACATCTGATTTTACATAGAACTACCAGTTTTCTCCGAATAAGTTAATATACAGCCTCTTGCAATATACATTTCAACATTTAATGCTGTAAATAAACATGTAAAAGGAATAAAACTTCCAATAAATGTTTTTAAAGTGCGTGAATAAATCCAAAATTGTAACCCTCTGTGCGCATTTCTGCAGGCTGAGGAAATTGCCCACAGTTCATAGCGGTATGAAGTGAAGCCCGGAAGCGAGACAAATATCACGGCAAATCCGCATTATCAGAAAAGAAGAAAAATGATAAACAACCAACGCAGATGTTAAAATTGTTGAAATTTTTCTTAATTTAAGATGCTGTATAGAACACATGAAGTCAAAGGAATGCAATCACCTTATTACACACATAGTTTATTCAACTAGGGTTTATTTTAGTTTTTGCTTAATGATGCTATTTGACCAACACAGTGTATTGATTAATTACAAATATATATTGACATTTAGGCTACCTCTCCTCCACTCTGTAGGGCAAGAGCCTGCAGGACTTAAAAATAAGGTAAAAACATCAAATAAAAAGTGTGCAACGTGTTTCAGCGTCGTCAAGGTAACGTGATAAAGTGGCAAAGTGCTGTCCCGTTCCCGTTTACAGCATTTTGAGCCCTCTTAAACTCAATCACTTTCCAAGTGACATCAGTAAAGTCTGTGAGGGTTCAGGGCTTAGGGCTTAGAGGGGACATTGGGATTGGGCCCAAGCCCCAGCTTCACGGTGTTGTGCCGAGTCGTCCGCACCTGGCGGGACTTTTGGATAATTTATCACCATAAATGAACCAAACAAAGAATATTTCATCGTTTTTAAATAGCCTACCATAGGCTACTTGAAATAGACCCGCGAGAAACCGCGACATGCATGTAGTGTGTAGAGAGAGAGAGAGAGAGAGAGAGAGAGAGAGAGAGAGAGAGAGAGAGAGAGAGAGAGAGATCTTCAAAAAGCCTCAGTTTAGCAGGAAATTTACAGTGTAAGTTGAATGAATAAAGACTGCAGCTCTGCAGGTTCTCAAGATTAAAGCAGAGCTACTGTGTGTAACCCCCCCCCCCCGCGCTCGCAATCGCCATCGCCTATAATGGAATATTGTTTTTTATAGTATGGTATTGCTTTTACTATTATCTGAATACTTCGTCCACCACTGACTCTATGCATATTTCAGGAATACATCTAACAAACTAATTTGTTTGTAGTTTGTACAACTAGTTTGTTTGTTTGTACTCCTTCTTGAGCAAAACACTGACCCAAAGAGACTATAAGGTAACTTAATATTATCATATCAACCTAAATATTATAACATATTTGCAACAATCCCATAAAATAAAATGTAACCAGCGTTTTTGTCGCTATATAGCCAAAAATCATACACTCTATGGTACTTTAAGCCTACTTGCAAAGCCTGATTGCAGGGTTCTACTAAGGCCTGAGTATGTCTGAAACCCTTGTTTCCTTGTAAAGCTGGACTGCAGGTTGTAACAAGAGACATGTTACATTTCCTCTTTCAAATTTTCAATAATAAGGTTTTTGTTTTTGCTTCTAATAAATATTCATTGCCTGTCTCCATTCTCTATAGTAATAATTTGTATGGATTTGTCTAAAGGGTGCAGTTTCACTGTCCTGCATCGTCACAGTCAGAATGGGAAAAGGGAAGAGATTTGAGTGGTGCATTATTTTCAACAAACAACTTTATCCTGCTCCCTTGAATTATCAGCAGAGAGAGATTGACAATAGCTCTTCTGGGCAATATGAGACAGCACGATCAGAGCTAGGATCTACATATTCATTATGTCTTACTGCCACGACCAACGGTTTTGTTTGTTGCAAAGAAAAAGTCACTCACCTCTTCTTTTTCAACTTTCAGTCTGTTCTGTCAAACAATAATTGACCATAGTAAATGTAAATGTGAAAAGAAAAATATAAACACCTGTACCAATTTGATGTAATACAACACAACAGCCCTTCGATGTTTGTTTTTGTTGATCCTAGTCAGAAGTATAGTACGTTTTGTTTCCACCAGGAAACTGTTTAGCAGTGGTGATAAGCCACCCAGATCCTGATGCATCTTGATGAGGGCCAAAACATCAGCCACACTATATGTGGCAGTTATTGTTGGCAAGCGTTTCTCTCTTTCCCTGAAAACTGATATTTTATGTCATTAATGTGTTAATTTTCTAAAATGTTAGTGGACGTGGGTTAATTTCAGGTGCGGTAGCCCACCTCCACTACGAAAGACAGCAAGAAACCCTAAATATAATGCAATACAACACAACACTACTACAACCTGTAGCCACCAAATTTTCCATGGAGTTGAGTCTACATGTTTAAAATAGGCAGCATATATTACAGGACTTTCAATCCCAGATTTTAGACCTGCAGAGAATACAACTAAAATCACTGAGGTGACATTGACTGGTCCTGTCTTGATGGCAACAAGGTAATTGTGGCGGAAGATAGTGACTCCATGGAATTACCCCTTAAACAGCTTGTTCAAAGTCAATAGCAAGATGCTCCAGGTTCAGTGGAAATAACAGAGTGCTGTGCGAGGGAAAAGAAAAGTGGGAGTCCAGTAAGTTCCATTTGAGAGTAAACCAAGATGTGTCTGAACACACCTGCTCAGTAAGACCACCCAAACCGAGACCAAGCCAAGACCAAGACCAGAGTTTATCGAGACCGAGACAAGACCAAGACTTTTAGACCAAGTCGAGACCAACACCGAGGGAGGGCGAGACCGAGTCAAGACCAGTTCCCCACATTACATGACACAAAAAAATGTGGAAGGAGATTATAGGTACTTCTCAAATTGATCTGAAAGATCCACATTCCCATTAAAACACCCATACAAACACTAAGAGCTGAAATCAACATAAGCATCTTTATTAAATACTCCTTTTCCATGCTTACCATCGCGGGGAGGGGTGACTGTTGTTAATGGTAACAACACCTTTTAATTAGGGTTATTGGTTGCATATGAAGCAGTACGTTTTACATCCAATCAAAGTTTGGATGTTAACAAATAAATCAGACAATGCAAAAGCAATTTATTGATATTCCCAAAGTTATGGTCTTGAAATAAATCCTATATCCTGTAAAAAAGTCCTCCATGTCCGAGACCAAGACAAGACCGGGTACAAACGCGGTCCAAGACCAGTCTCGAGTACTACAACACTACTACAGGGGCGCAGAGTTTATTCATTTCAAATGTAGCTTGTACTTGGTTATTAATACTTCAACAAGATGAAATAAAATACAAATCCAAGGGGGCACAGTTGCACCAATCTCTCCATCAAACGTTAAAGTTTGGTTTTGGACCATATACAGCATGTGTGTGTGTGTATAGCTGAGACTTAACCTCCTGAGCTGGCAGGGCTTTTCACTGTGATGAGCAACGATTACAGCAAGTCCTGTTGACTATCATATGCCAGTTTATCACAGAAGCAGTCGTGCATGTGGCTGATGCAGTTCAGTCATACACAGTGTTCTGGTGGTGCTGGTCAGTACAAAATACAATTCACTTCTTGTCTCATGCAGGGAGTTACTAACAGCAATGAGTAAACAAAGGGAAAAAGAGAAAAAAAAGGAAACAAGAAGAACAGGTATTTACTGATAAATGCTAACTCCTGTGTACTGTTCCATGGTCTTGGACCTGTATGAATTTTTCAACATTTGTCTAAACACATACAAAAGTGGGGAAAAGGTAGTGGGTCAACCGCCCTGCCTTTAAGGAATGCTTTTAAAAGATTACTTACTGGAGAAAAAAATGCTTTTCAAGCACAGGGTATACACTTAACATAAGACCATGGATAAGCAGTTGTTATGACAACTCACCAAAGCTAATCTTTTCTGTACACATCATTAAAAAATAACTAAGTGGGTGTTTAGCCAACATGTGTTTGGTAACGGGGCATTTTAGGAACATTTCTGTGGAAGGTCATCAGACAGTGGGGGCGTA